AGGCGTAAACATATCACAAAACAGCAACTTTCCCGAATATCACAATTCATTCTGAGAGGCTTCGAGAAGCGCCAGCACTGCTCAGCCGTCTTCATCGACATTGAAGCCTTTGACCGAGTTTGGGACAGTGGCTCTGCAAATGAATCAAATTACCACCGACGAATTTCTACAATATACCTCAGACTTACCTGCATGAGCGTAGCTTTATAGTAAAGTGCAGCGACGGTATTCAATTACAGCTGGAGTATTCTAAGGCAGTAGACTGGGGCAAAATCTTCTCATCCGACATGCCGCTGACCTCAATGAATACAGTCAGTTCAACGAAAACCACATGATTATCTCTACGTATGCTGATGATACGGTAATAATGTGTGCCGCATATATCCCGACCACCGCAATCTGGGAAATCCAGATATACATTAATCACTTCGAAAAAGAGACAATACCATGCAGCACATCCCAAACTTACCTGGGCATTAGCTTCAAAACAGAATGTGTGGTCGGTCATCAGTGAGAATTTGCTTGGGGAAGTGGGCCGCCGACTTCGAAACCAGAATGTGTAAGCGAAAAAAAAAAAAAAATGTCACCACTTTGAATTTGCGTGGGGAACTTGTGGTCATCACTTTGAATTTGTGTGGGGAAGTGGGCCGCTAGTCATATAAAATGGACCGACTGAGTTTGAGGACTAAAAAAAAGTCGTCGAAGACCTTTTGGTACCTTAAGTGAGCCGGCAGCCAACTAAAATGAGTTTAGGCAAACAATGCTATTGTTTCTTTAAGGTGAAAAAACTGAAAATTCGAAATTTGTATTTTTAGTTTTGGTTTGACCTCATTAAACCTGAAAATATCAGATATCAAACAAATATATGCAAAACCTGTGAAAGAAAGAATTTATTTACCGTGGAGGGAAACCTAGTAAAGAATATCATAGTCGCGTACCTTTTGGTGGAGCAATTAGTGGATTTATCTACCGTGATGCGAAACCTAGATAATATTATCATAGTCACTCACCTTTCTAAAAGGTGGGAAACTGGGAAGCAAATAGTGAATTTATTTACCGTGATGCGAAACCTTGATAATATTATCATAGTCACTCACTTTTCGAAAAGGTGGGAAACTGGGAAGCAAATAGTGAATTTATTTACCGTGGAGTGAAACCGGGATATTATCAAAGTCACTCATTTTTTGAAAGGGGGTGAAATTGGGAAGCAAATAGGGAACTTATTTACCGTGGAGTGAAACCTGGTAAAGAATATCATAGTCGCGTACCTTTTGGTGGAGCAATTCCTGAATTTATCTACCGTGATGCGAAACCTGGATAATATTATCATAATCACTTACCTTTTTTTTGAAGGTGAAAAAACTGAAAATGCCATATCTTTGTCAAAAGTTGCCCGATTTTGATGAAATTTGTATTTTTAGTTATGGTTTGACCTCTAGAATAAATCTGCATTTAAATCTGAAACTGTCATCTGGACCCCCTAACTAATGTTAACACTTTATCTATTTTTTGAGGGAAAAAAGACGCAAATGGCCATAACTTTGTCAAAAGTGGCCCGATTTTGTCGAAGTTTGTATTTTTAGTTATGGTATGACTGAGATGTGGCCGCCGACTTAGAAAACAGAATGTGAATTTGAAGAATAGTATCGGAAGGGGGCCGGGGACTGACAAAATCGGGCCGCCGACTTCCAAAATGAAATAAAAACCCAAAAAAAAGGTCGTCGAAGACCATTTGGTACCTTAAGTGAGCCGGCAGCCAACTAAAATGAGTTTAGGCAAACAATGCTATTGATTTTTGAAGGTGAAAAAACTGAAAATTCGAAATTTGTATTTTTAGTTATGGTTTCACCTCATTAAACCTGCCCATTAAACCTGAAAATATCAAATATCAAATATCAAAGAAATATAGCAAAACCTGTGAAAGAAAGAATTTATTTACCGTGGAGGGAAACCTAGTAAAGAATATCATAGTCGCGTACCTTTTGGTGGATCAATAAGTGGATTTATCTACCGTGATGCGAAACCTAGATAATATTATCATAGCCACTCACCTTTCGAAAAGGTGGGAGACTGGGAAGCAAATAGTGAATTTATTTACCGTGGAGTGAAACCGGGATAATATTATCATAGTCACTCACCTTTTGAAAAGGCGGGAAACTGGGAAGCAAATAGTGAATTTATTTACCGTGGAGTGAGACCGGGATAATATTATCATAGTCACTCACCGTTGGAAAAGGGGTGAAACTGGCAAGCAAATAGTGTGCCTCCACCCATATAACATTTAATGGAAAGTCGAAAGACACACAGGCTGCGTGCGTCACTATTTTGTAAACATGTCAACAGTATTTTCAATTGTCCCTTGCTACAGTCCTCAGTTCCTGCCAATGTTACATTTTCAACACTACTGAAATATTTTAGCCTGGGAAGGATACAGCTGACGTCGGCGCCTACCGACCCATCAGGCTCCTGTGCGGACTCTCAAAGATGTTTAAAAAACTTCTCCTGGCCCGGCTCTTTGAACTTGAGGAATTTGTCAAAGCCGTGCCTAATTAATAGTTTGGGTTCAGGCGTAAACATATCACAAAACAGCAACTTTCTCGAATATCACAATTCATTCTGAGAGGCTTCGAGAAGCGCCAGCACTGCTCAGCCGTCTTCATCGACATTGAAGCCTTTGACCGAGTTTGGCACAGTGGCTCTGCAAATGAATCAAATTACCACCGACGAATTTCTACAATATACCTCAGACTTACCTGCATGAGCGTAGCTTTGTAGTAAAGTGCAGCGACGGTATTCAATTACAGCTGGAGTATTCTAAGACAGTAGACTGGGGCAAAATCTTCTCATCCGACATGCCGCTGACCTCAATGAATACAGTCAGTTCAACGAAAACCGCATGATGATCTCTACGTATGTAGACGGTAATAATGTGCCGCAGATATCCCGACCACCGCAATCTGGGAAATCCAGATATACATTAATCACTTCGAAAAATTAGTTAAAAAGAGACAATACCATGCAGCACATCCCAAACTTACCTGGGCATTAGCTTCAAAACAGAATGTGTGGTCGGTCATCAGTGAGAATTTGCTTGGGGAAGTGGGCCGCCGACTTCGAAACCAGAATGTGTAAGCAAAAAAACAAAAAAGTCACCACTTTGAATTTGCGTGGGGAACTTGTGATCATATCACTTTGAATTTGTGTGGGGAAGTGGGCCGCTAGTCATATAAAATGGACCGACTGAGTTTGAGGACTAAAAAAAAAAAGAAGGTCGTCGACGACCATTTGGTACCTTAAGTGAGCCGGCAGCCAACTAAAATGAGTTTAAGCAAACAATGCTATTGTTTTTTGAAGGTGAAAAAACTGAAAATTCGAAATTTGTATTTTAAGTTATGGTTTCACCTCATTAAACCTGCCCACAAACCTGAAAATATCAAATATCAAACAAATATAGCAAAACCTGTGAAAGAAAGAATTTATATACCGTGGAGGGAAACCTACTAAAGAATATCATAGTCGCGTACCTTTTGGTGGAGCAATAAGTGGATTTATCTACCGTGATGCGAAACCTAGATAATATTATCATAGTCACTCACTTTTCGAAAAGGTGGGAAACTGAAAAGCAAATGAATTTATTTACCGTGGAGTGAAACCGGGATATTATCATAGTCACTCATCTCTTGAAAAGGAGTGAAACTGGGAAGCAAATAGTGAATTTATTTACCGTGGAGTGAAATCTGGTAAAGAATATCATAGTCGCGTACCTTTTGGTGGAGGAATTTGTGAATTTATCTACCGTGATGCGAAACCTGGATAATATTATCATAGTCACTCACCTTTTGAAAAGGTGGGAAATTGGGAAACAAATGAATTTATTTACCGTGGTGCGAAACCGGGATAGTATTATCATAGTTACTCACCATATAACATATAATGGAAAGTCGAAAGTCGAAAGACACACAGGCTGCGTGCGTCACTATTTTGTAAACATGTCAACAGTATTTTCAATTGTCCCTTGCTACAGTCCTCAGTTCCTGCCAATGTTACATTTTCAACACTACTGAAATATTTTAGCCTGGGAAGGATACAGCTGACGTCGGCGCCTACCGACCCATCAGGCTCCTGTGCGGACTCTCAAAGATGTTTAAAAAACTTCTATTGGCCCGGCTCTTTGAACTTGAAGAATTTATCAAAGCCGTGCCGAATTAATAGTTTAGGTTCAGGCGTAAACATATCACGAAACAGCAACTTTCCCGAATATCACAATTCATTATGAGGGGCTTCGAGGAGCGCCAGCACTGCTCAGCCATCTTCATCGACATTGAAGCACACATATGCCCGCAAACAATAATTTTTTGTATGCCCATATTTTTGGCAGCGATAGCACTGCACTGGATCCGACCTTCTGTTTTGGCGCTCAATCACTAAGCGCTGGTTTCCCAAGACAGTAAGTGAGAGGATCCTGTCAATAGCTACGTCACTCGTTGATTGAAGTTCAACCGCAAACATATTCATAGCATGTTGGGTGCGGCTGTGCTTAACAACATTTATGTTTCGGATCACAAAACCAAGATTGGTCCAGGTGGTCGGAGTGGTGTGATGCAGGTGTCTTATAACGATTTTATGGAAACGCTCATTATCTATCTGGTACGTATGAAGCTCTGTGTTGTCATCTTCAAGGGAACTTAGCACTTACACTTTTTAGTTATAGCAAATTGTTGCCAAATTGTTATTACAATAACATTTTCATTTTTTTTTTATTATTGAACTTTTCATTTATTTGTTTTATATTTTTTTATTTTTTGATTTGATTTGATTTGATGCTTTTCAACTGGTCCTTTTTCATCTGATTTTGGATTTAATGCTTTTGATGCTTTGCTTATTTGACAAACCTAACCTATTTGACAAATAGGTTAAAATACAATTTTTGTGAAAAGCAAAAAAAAAAGTGTGACCTGTGAAATATAAGAACAAAGGATTATGTGTTCCAGTCAGATAGCTGTGCCAGAGCCTTGGGATGAACGCCTTGGATAGTTTTGCCGTGTTGTACTGTTTGGCAGTCAGAGTTGAGCCGTGAAGCATGGCTTGACTGTATACAGAATCATAACGTGTTCATTTATTTTATTTCAGCAGAAGGTAGCGCAGAGGCCATAACAAGTGACAGGGCAGACATCCCTATCAGCTTCTTCACGCGTGCGCTATGCTGACGTCGAGCAATAGAAAGCCAGCACCACTAGAATTTGTTTAAGTAGTTGGTACTGCCAAAGCTCAATAAAGTTGAAGTTGCAAAAGATCTGCTGCTGTGTAATTGCAAATACAGCCCTTGGCCACATCAGCCGTGTAATTGCTGTGTCGATATCATACTTGAGCGTATGAAGGAAACGCAAACTGGTGTAGTTTTATAGCCTTCTGAAGCAGAGAGGGGATTTATAGTATTAATACTGTGATAATGTTGGTCAGAACGCAGATTTTCGCGGAGCCTCAGCAAGCGTCTCAGCAGGGTTTTCGATTTGTTGAGCAGCTTTGCCATAATGCCCGCTTTTTTGGTTCAATTGATGAGACGGTAATTCATCTTTTTGTAGCTGCTGCTGCTGAATACTCCGGGATCTCTGTTGCCTGCCAACAGGAGCGTGCTATGTTGGCCAGAAGATTTTTGGAAGCCTCTTTGTAGGTTGGACATCCTTTGAAACTGGACACATGATTGCCCGTGCAATTGCATCGGACGACCGGGATAGCGTCGGAGCAGGACACCAAAGAAGATAGCCCTCGATGGCGCGCCAGACTCCGTACAGATGCGCATCACATGTCAGCCATACATGTAGAGGTGAGTGTGTGATGCATATGATGGAAAGGAACAAAAGGCTAATAATAAGCATTTTGTTTCATACATTTTTAGCGGGTGCACCCAGGCGCGCATAATGCAACGCAGAGGCAGAGCTCACAGGTCGTCTTCATAGCGGCAGTGTGACCTGTGAAATATAAGAACAAAGGATTATGTGTTCCAGTCAGATAGCCGTGCCAGAGCCTTGGGATGAACGCCTTGGATAGTTTTGCCGTGTTGTACTGTTTGGCAGTCAGGGTTGAGCCGTGAAGCATGGCTTGTCTGTATACAGAATCATAACGTGTTCATTTATTTTATTTCAGCAGAAGGTAGCGCAGAGGCCATAACAAGTAACAGGGCAGACATCCCTATCAGCTTCTTCACACGTGCGCTATGCTGACGTCGAGCAATAGAAAGCCAGCACCACTAGAATTTGTTTAAGTAGTTGGTACTGCCAAAGCTCAATAAAGTTGAAGTTGCAAAAGATCTGCTGCTTTGTAATTGCAAATACAGGCCTTGGCCACATCAGCCGTGTAATTGCTGTGTCGATATCATACTTAAGCGTATGAAGGAAACGCAAACTGGTGTAGTTTTATAGCCTTCTGAAGCAGAGAGGGGATTTATAGTATTAATACTGTGATAATGTTGGTCAGAACGCAGATTTTCGCGGAGCCTCAGCAAGCGTCTCAGCAGGGTTTTCGATTTGTTGAGCAGCTTTGCCATAACGCCCCCTTTTTTGGTTCAATCGATGAGACGGTAATTCATCTTGTAGCTGCTGCTGCTGAATACTCCGGGATCTCTGTTGCCTGCCAAGGTTGGAGCGTGCTATGTTGGCCAGAAGATTTTTGGAAGCCTCTTTGTAGGTTGGACATCCCTTCTGTTTTGGCGCTCAATCACTAAGCGCTGGTTTCCCAAGACAGTAAGTGAGAGGATCCTGTCAATAGCTACGTCACTCGTTCATTGAAGTTCAACCGCAAACATATTCATAGCATGTTGGGTGCGGCTGTGCTTAACAACATTTATGTTTCGGATCACAAAGCCAAGATTGGTCCAGGTGGTCGGAGTGGTGTGATGCAGGTGTCTTATAACGATTTTATGGAAACGCTCATTATCTATCTGGTGCGTATGAAGCTCTTTGATGTCATCTTTAAGGGAACTTAGCACTTACACTTTTTAGTTATATCAAATTGTTGCTAAATTGTTATAACAATAACATTTTAATTTTTTTTTATTATTGAACTTTTCATATTTTGTTATATATATATATTTTTTTTTATTTGATTTGATTTGATGCTTTTCAACTGGTCCTTTTTTATTTGATTTTGGATTTAATGCTTTTGATGCTTTGCTTAATTGACAAACGTAACCTATTTGACAAATAGGTTAATATACAATTTTTGTGACAAGCGAAAAAAAAAACAATATTTGCAATAGCGTGTACCACTGTAACAGTGTTTGACACCGGCTGAGCACAGCAAACAGCTGTTTGCAGACCAGTCTGGCAGCGCTGTTGCAGCTGGCCGGTGTTTACAATAATTTTTTCATAACAACAGTGTTGCCAGACTGGTCTGCAAACAACTGCTTGCTGTGCTCAGCCGGTGTCAAACACTGTTACAGTGGTACACGCTATTGCAAATATTGCTTTTTTTCGCTTTTCGCAAAAATTGTATTTCAACCTATTTGTCAAATAGGTTAGGTTTGTCAAAAAAGCAAAACATCAGAAGCATTAAATCCAAAATTAAATAAAAAAGGACCAGTTGAAAAGCATCACATCAAATCAGAAAATAAAAAAAAAATATATAACAAAATATGAAAAGTTCAATAATAAAAAAAAAATTAAAATGTTATTGTTATAACAATTTAGCAACAATTTGATATTACTAAAAAGTGTAAGTGTTAAGTTCCCTTAAAGATGACAACAAAGAGCTTCATACGCACCAGATAGATAATGAGCGTTTCCATAAAATCGTTATAAGACACCTGCATCACACCACTCCGACCACCTGGACCAATCTTGGCTTTGTGATCCGAAACATAAATGTTGTTAAGCACAGCCGCACCCAACATGCTATGAATATGTTTGCGGTTGAACTTCAATCAACGAGTGACGTAGCTATTGACAGGATCCTCTCACTTACTGTCTTGGGAAACCAGCGCGTAGTGATTGAGCGCCAAAACAGAAGGTCGGATCCAGTGCAGTGCTATCGCTGCCAAAAATATGGGCATACAAAAAATTATTGTTTGCGGGCATATGTGTGTATGAAATGTGCCGGCCCACACCCCTCTACTGCGTGTGCACATAGCAGAATTGACAGCCCTAAGTGTGCAAATTGCACGGGCAATCATGTGTCCAGTTTCAAAGGATGTCCAACCTACAAAGAGGCTTCCAAAAATCTTCTGGCCAACATAGCACGCTCCAACCTTGGCAGGCAACAGAGATCCCGGAGTATTCAGCAGCAGCAGCTACAAAAGATGAATTACCGTCTCATCAATTGAACCAAAAAAGCGGGCATTATGGCAAAGCTGCTCAACAAATAGAAAACCCTGCTGAGACGCTTGCTGAGGCTCCGTGAAAATCTGCGTTCTGACCAACATTATCACAGTATTAATGCTATAAATTCCCTCTCTGCTTCAGAAGGCTATAAAACTACACCAGTTTGCGTTTCCTTCATACGCTCAAGTATGATATCGACACAGCAATTACACGGCTGATGTGGATACTTATTGTCTACATTATCAAAATTTAATACAAAGATAGCAATCCTGACCGCTCACAATCATCGCATCCGATACAACTGATAAACAAACTTGACATCGTACTCAACTCTGGCCAAGGCCTGTATTTGCAATTACAAAGCAGCAGATCTTTTGCAACTTCAACTTTATTGAGCTTTGGCAGTACCAACTACTTAAACAAATTCTAGTGGTGCTGGCTTTCTACTGCTCGACTTCAGCATAGCGCACGCGTGAAGAAGCTGATAGCGATGTCTGCCCTGTCACTTGTTATGGCCTCTGCGCTACCTTCTGCTGAAATAAAATAAATTAACACGTTATGATTCTGTATACAGACAAGCCATGCTTCACGGCTCAACCCTGACTGCCAAACAGTACAACACGGCGAAACTATCCATATGAAAAATTAACCGCCAGGAACTGATCTGCCTCACTTTTAGTTCTTTATAATGTGGCAACTTCTCCCTAGCCCACAAAACGCCACCTTGTGGAAAATGTGGTCACATTAAATGTGGTCACATTAAATTGTGGTCTCGCTAACCCTGCCAACCTGTTTTTTGTACGGCAATGTGGCCCTTTAATTTTACTATCGATATGTACCCAAATACAACAATGAACGCAACTGACAGAGAGTTTCGTGTGGCACATACCATATCAGAAATTGCAGAGGTGGAACGTTCAGCCATATTCCAAATTTGCTGTGATTAAAGTAATGGATAAATAAAGTAGGATAATAGGTGACTATTTTACGTTGTCATCAGTCTCAATGCTCATCTCAATCTCAATTCAACTCCGGGGAGACACCCTGTTTTAAGAGCATGATATTAAAGTTTACTTGTAGAATGTGAATTGCTGACTTTTATTCAATACTTATTGCTTGAACAGTACAAAACCAATACGGAAGCGTGGAAAATAAATGTTGATATGAGAACCGGCAAATTACCCATATAGTGTTCGAAAGCTTACGTATATTAGTTATACTTTTAATTCTTACTCACTAAACTTTTCAGCTATTGTCAATATTATCAAACTAAAATGTAAAAATATTTTTAAATTCTTGTCTGCTTGCTAGCGTCTGGCTTAAAGTTATAGTTTTATTAAAAAATTTAATAGAAAAGTGATAAGGAAATTCTTGTAACCTTTGACAAAACTTTCTAAAATCTCTGAATTCTTCAGCGTGTCTCGAAATGTCTTATTTATAACAAAAGTTTAGTATAAAATGTAAGTTGTATAATTAAATATACTTTTGTATATAATGTGTGCAAATGTGTTAATATTTAATTGAACGTTCCTTTAAAGTTAGTTAGGGGCGATTTTATAGCATTCATTCAAATGTAACTGCTTAAAATTGACTTTCTTCATGGGGTGTTGCTTAAGCCTGTTCCATTGGGAACAGTGCAGAAAAAAAATGTCATGACCTGCCGTCGGCCACCTAAACACTTAACACAAAATTAGCACAATTTAAACATTATTTATACGAACACACGTCAAATTCTATTCCACAAAGTAAAAAAAATATGATACTATATGCACTTCCATAGAAATTTACAACATCGATCGCACCATATGAAAAATTAACCGCCAGGAACTGATCTGCCTCACTTTTAGTTCTTTATCATGTGGCAACTTCTCCCTAGCCCACAAAACGCCACCTTGTGGAAAATGTGGTCACATTAAATGTGGTCACATTAAATTGTGGTCTCGCTAACCCTGCCAACCTGTTTTTTTGTACGGCAATG